TACTGTCGAGCGGGATTCATGTCAGGCCAGTGTATCGCTTTTTTCCGGGTAGTATTGGTAGCGGGTCAAGTGGTTCGACGATTCTAGCAACAGGCCAATGCAAAGTGATGGAGTTACTGGCGATCTCGTGGTGAAGTCCGGCTATAGCACAACAGGAAGTCCTGGAACTGTTTCTATTGTGGGCGGGTCGTCTGGTCGACTCTCAGGATCATCGATTGCTGTGGCTGCCGGACACGGATCGTTTGGTGGGTCGCTATCTGTATTAACAGGTTCAGGAATGGCTATGTCAGGATCTGCAGTGATTCAGACTGGAAAAAGCGCCGTGTCAACAGGTTCAATTACCGTATCAAGTGGCGCTTCCGGCACTGGATCGTCCGGTGATGTGAGCGTCTTGTCTGGAAACTCATCGACTGGACAAACTGGAAGTATAATGGTTGCAGTTGGGCTTTCAAAAACTCGCGAAGGTGGCTCAATCAGTCTTTTGAGTGGAAATGGCACCAGTACCGGTGGTTCGGTCGTCATCCGTTCGGGATACGCGAATCGTGGAACTACAGGAGACTTAAGTATTTCAACTTCTGCAGCTGGCAAAGAAAGTAGCTCTGGTGCGATTAAAGTCTACACGGGGCCATCAAATTCGACCAGTGGCAATTTAATCATGTCCAGTGGATTATCGACTAGCTCTCAAGCTGGTAATGCTGTGTTGTCCGTCGGCACTAGTAACGCGGCTTGGGGCGGCAATGCCACAATGCGAGGAGGACCGAATCGGCTACGAGGTGGAGACGTTAATTTTGTGGCTGGGGAAAGTTCCCAAGCAGTTGGTGGCACTGCTAACGTTACGTCGGGTATCGGTCTTTTGAGCAGTGGTGCCCTCACGGTGAGCACACCAGATTCCAGTAGTACAGGTGCTTCGGGGTCTGTTGTTGTTTCCACCGGCTTATCAGCTTCTGGGACCAGTGGGTCTATAGCACTGAGCACTGGAATATCTTCAGGACAAGCTGGGGGCTCAATATCTATGCTTGTTGGCGCTGGTACTCGTGCGCCAGGTGGGTTAATTAACATTACCAGTGGAAATAGCTACAGTGGCACAGGCGGTTCAATCTTCCTACACAGTGGATTTGGAACATTGTCATCCAGTGGCTCCGTGTACATTGAGACTGCAGCTGCCGGGGTCATGGGTCAATCTGGTGCAGCTAGTATCGCTACAGGTTATTCCGACGTTGCCGATTCGGGAAAAGTCGATGTGACTACTGGCAGTTCTCAGATGAGAAAAGGTGGAAGTATTGAACTAGCAGTCGGAAGTTCTGGGTCTGTTCGTGGAGGCGACGTGATAGCTGCAGCAGGAAATAGTTCTGATGTGGGGGGGTCGTTTGTTGCTGTGGGTGGGCTTGGCTCCCAAACAGGTGGTCAGATTTTGCTTAAATCCGGTGGAAGTAGTGTTGCTAGCTCTGGAAGCATCGTCATCTCGACTGAGATTTCCGGGCCAGCAGGGCACAGCGGGAGTGTATTTATTGCTACTGGTAGAAGTCGTGATGGCAACAGCGGTGATGCATACATTCAGACCGGAGATGCAATCCGCGGCAGTGGAGGCTCCATTCAGCTGCTTGGGGGTACTGGTGATACTGGTAATGGCGCCAATATTACGATGTCAGCCGGCAGCACACTTGACCAACATGCAGCTGGTGGGGCTGTCTCCCTTACAAGCGGTTCTAGCGTTTACGGCTCAAGTGGCAATGCAAAGTTTGCCACACCAGATGCAGGTACCTTAGGGGTATCCGGTTACATTCGAGTATCCACGGGTTCAGCGGCGGCTGCCACAGTGGGTGATGTGTCCGTAACCACTGGTGGCAGTACGGGCGGTAATGGTGGGTCGGTATTGCTTAGCGTAGGAACGGGAAGTAGTGGTGCCGGCGGATACATTTCGTTGCGATCTGGCGACACCCACACCGGTACGGGAACAGCAACTGGCACTGTGGGCGGATCCATTTCGCTGAGTGGAGGCAGCGGAATGACGAGTGGCGGGTCGATCTCGCTGCAGAGCGGCGCGGGTCTGAAGTCATCTAGCGGTGACATCTCGCTGACGACTCCGGACGCTGCGGTGACAAGCGGTGTGAGTGGCAGTCTGCGTCTGACGAGCGGTGCGAGTCGTGTGGGCGACAGTGGATTGGTGTCTGTGAGCACAGGGGTATCAACAGGCGGTCACGGCGGGTCGATCTCTTTGTCTGTGGGCGGTGGCGACACGTTGTCGGGTGGCGCTCTCTGGATGACGGCGGGCGACACGACGGCTCCGACGTCCACGACGAGTGGGACGGGAGGCTCGGTGAGTGTGTTGAGTGGCCGCAGCGTGGGAAGCACGAGCGGCTCGATTTCGCTGAGTACGGCTACGGGCGGCACGTCTGGTCAATCTGGCGTGTTGAGCTTCAGTAGTGGTAGCGCGACTGCCGGGTCTTCCGGGAACCTACTGCTGAATAGTGGCGCGAGCACGGGCGGCAATGGCGGCTCCGTGTTGGTGAGCGTGGGCGAAGGCTATGTGGGCACTGGTGGTAAAGTGTCTATCACGGCAGGTCGCAGTGTTGGGGCGTATGCACTTGCGGGAGGATCCATCGATCTGGTCGGTGGTGAAGGTGAGTTTACTGGCGGGTCTATTAGCATGACCAGCGGAGGAGCTGAGGGTGTCACAACGCCTAGTGGCGACGTGTCGTTGTTAAGTTCGGCTTCAGGTGCGAGCGGATCACTTTGGTTATCAAGCGGCGCTTCAGCAGCGTCATCGAGCGGAGCTGTTCATGTTCTCACGGGACCGGCAACTGGCGGCAGAGGAGGCAACATCGAGCTATCTGTTGGCGGTGGCAGCATCGGAGCAGGCGGCAAGATTTTGTTGAGTGCTGGTAGTACGAGTGGCGGGACTTCCGGTACTGCTAACAGTGGTGCTGGAGGCGACGTGGAGGTGACTAGCGGCGCGAGCAGCAGCCTCACGAGTGGCAGCGTGCTGGTGCGCACTTTGGATGGTGGCTCTAGCGGTCCGTCGGGTTTGATCAGTCTGACGACGGGCTCTGCGACGGCAGGCACGGTGGGCGGCGTGACGGTGAGCACTGGTGGCAGCACGGGTGGCAACGGCGGGTCTGTGCTCTTGAAGGTTGGCACGGGCAGCAGCGGCGCTGGTGGGTCGATCTCGCTGCGATCTGGCGACACCCACACCGGTACGGGAACAGCAACTGGCACTGTGGGCGGATCCATTTCGCTGAGTGGAGGCAGCGGCATGACGAGTGGCGGGTCGATCTCGCTGCAGAGCGGCGCGGGTTTGAAGTCATCTAGCGGTGACATCTCGCTGACGACTCCGGACGCTGCGGTGACAAGCGGTGTGAGTGGCAGTCTGCGTCTGACGAGCGGTGCGAGTCGTGTGGGCGACAGTGGATTGGTGTCTGTGAGCACAGGGGTATCAACAGGCGGTCACGGCGGGTCGATCTCTTTGTCTGTGGGCGGTGGCGACGCGTTGTCGGGTGGCGCTCTCTGGATGACGGCGGGCGACACGACGGCTCCGACGTCCACGACGAGTGGGACGGGAGGCTCGGTGAGTGTGTTGAGTGGCCGCAGCGTGGGAAGCACGAGCGGCTCAATTTCGCTGAGTACGGCTACGGGCGGCACGTCTGGTCAATCTGGCATGTTGAGCTTCAGTAGTGGTAGCGCGACTGCCGGGTCTTCCGGGAGCCTACTACTGAATAGTGGCGCGAGCACGGGCGGTAATGGCGGCTCCGTGTTGGTGAACGTGGGAGACGGCTCTGCGGGCAGTGGCGGCCAGGTGTCGATCACGGCCGGACTGAGTTCTTCGACGACGGCAGGGTCTACTGGTGGCTTGATCGAGCTGGTAAGTGGCCAAGGTGCGCTGACCGGTGGGTCTATCAGTGTGGGTAGCGGCGCTGCATCTGGCACGACCAGTACGAGCAAGACAAGTGGCGGCGTGTCCTTGTGGAGTGCTTCGTCTGGTACGAGCGGGTCTCTGTCTCTGGCGAGTGGCGAGTCTTGGTTGTCTTCAAGCGGATCGGTTCGTTTGTCTACAGGCGCAGCGACTGGCGGCAGAGGAGGCAACATCGAGCTATCTGTCGGCGGTGGCAGCATCGGAGCAGGCGGCAAGATTTTGTTGAGTGCTGGTAGTACGAGTGGCGGGACTTCCGGTACTGCTAACAGTGGTGCTGGAGGCGACGTGGAGGTGACTAGCGGCGCGAGCAGCAGCCTCACGAGTGGCAGCGTGCTGGTGCGCACTTTGGATGGTGGCTCTAGCGGTCCGTCGGGTTTGATCAGTCTGACGACGGGCTCTGCGACGGCAGGCACGGTGGGCGGCGTGACGGTGAGCACTGGTGGCAGCACGGGTGGCAACGGCGGGTCTGTGCTCGTGAAGGTTGGCACGGGCAGCTGCGGCGCTGGTGGGTCGATCTCGCTGCGATCTGGCGACACCCACACCGGTACGGGAACAGCAACTGGCACTGTGGGCGGATCCATTTCGCTGAGTGGAGGCAGCGGCATGACGAGTGGCGGGTCGATCTCGCTGCAGAGCGGCGCGGGTCTGAAGTCATCTAGCGGTGACATCTCGCTGACGACTCCGGACGCTGCGGTGACAAGCGGTGTGAGTGGCAGTCTGCGTCTGACGAGCGGTGCGAGTCGTGTGGGCGACAGTGGATTGGTGTCTGTGAGCACAGGGGTATCAACAGGCGGTCACGGCGGGTCGATCTCTTTGTCTGTGGGCGGTGGCGACGCGTTGTCGGGTGGCGCTCTCTGGCTGACGGCGGGCGACACGACGGCTCCGACGTCCACGACGAGTGGGACGGGAGGCTCGGTGAGTGTGTTGAGTGGCCGCAGCGTGGGAAGCACGAGCGGCTCAATTTCGCTGAGTACGGCTACGGGCGGCACGTCTGGTCAATCTGGCATGTTGAGCTTCAGTAGTGGTAGCGCGACTGCCGGGTCTTCCGGGAGCCTACTACTGAATAGTGGCGCGAGCACGGGCGGTAATGGCGGCTCCGTGTTGGTGAACGTGGGAGACGGCTCTGCGGGCAGTGGCGGCCAGGTGTCGATCACGGCCGGACTGAGTTCTTCGACGACGGCAGGGTCTACTGGTGGCTTGATCGAGCTAGTAGGTGGCCAAGGTGCGCTGACCGGTGGGTCTATCAGTGTGGGTAGCGGCGCTGCATCTGGCACGACCAGTACGAGCAAGACGAGTGGCGACGTGTCCTTGTGGAGTGCTTCGTCTGGTACGAGCGGGTCTCTGTCTCTGGCGAGTGGCGAGTCTTGGTTGTCTTCAAGCGGATCGGTTCGTTTGTCTACAGGCGCAGCGACTGGCGGCAGAGGAGGCAACATCGAGCTATCTGTCGGCGGTGGCAGCATCGGAGCAGGCGGCAAGATTTTGTTGAGTGCTGGTAGTACGAGTGGCGGGACTTCCGGTACTGCTAACAGTGGTGCTGGAGGCGACGTGGAGGTGACTAGCGGCGCGAGCAGCAGCCTCACGAGTGGCAGCGTGCTGGTGCGCACCCCGGATGGTGGCTCTAGCGGTCCGTCGGGTTTGATTAGTCTGACGACGGGCTCTGCGACGGCAGGCACGGTGGGCGGCGTGACGGTGAGCACTGGTGGCAGCACGGGTGGCAACGGCGGGTCTGTGCTCTTGAAGGTTGGCACGGGCAGCAGCGGCACTGGTGGGTCGATCTCGCTGCGATCTGGCGACACCCACACCGGTACGGGAACAGCAACTGGCACTGTGGGCGGATCCATTTCGCTGAGTGGAGGCAGCGGCATGACGAGTGGCGGGTCGATCTCGCTGCAGAGCGGCGCGGGTTTGAAGTCATCTAGCGGTGACATCTCGCTGACGACTCCGGACGCTGCGGTGACAAGCGGTGTGAGTGGCAGTCTGCGTCTGACGAGCGGTGCGAGTCGTGTGGGCGACAGTGGATTGGTGTCTGTGAGCACAGGGGTATCAACAGGCGGTCACGGCGGGTCGATCTCATTGTCTGTGGGCGGTGGCGACGCGTTGTCGGGTGGCGCTCTCTGGATGACGGCGGGCGACACGACGGCTCCGACGTCCACGACGAGTGGGACGGGAGGCTCGGTGAGTGTGTTGAGTGGCCGCAGCGTGGGAAGCACGAGCGGCTCGATTTCGCTGAGTACGGCTATGGGCGGCACGTCTGGTCAATCTGGCGTGTTGAGCTTCAGTAGTGGTAGCGCGACTGCCGGGTCTTCCGGGAACCTACTACTGAATAGTGGCGCGAGCACGGGCGGCAATGGCGGCTCCGTGTCGGTGAGCGTGGGAGACGGCTCTGCGAGCAGTGGCGGCCAGGTGTCGATCACGGCCGGACTGAGTTCTTCGACGACGGCAGGGTCTACTGGTGGCTTGATCGAGCTGGTAGGTGGCCAAGGTGCGCTGACCGGTGGGTCTATCAGTGTGGGTAGCGGCGCTGCATCTGGCACGACCAGTACGAGCAAGACGAGTGGCGACGTGTCCTTGTGGAGTGCTTCGTCTGGTACGAGCGGGTCTCTGTCTCTGGCGAGTGGCGAGTCTTGGTTGTCTTCAAGCGGATCGGTTCGTTTGTCTACAGGCGCAGCGACTGGCGGCAGAGGAGGCAACATCGAGCTATCTGTCGGCGGTGGCAGCATCGGAGCAGGCGGCAAGATTTTGTTGAGTGCTGGTAGTACGAGTGGCGGGACTTCCGGTACTGCTAACAGTGGTGCTGGAGGCGACGTGGAGGTGACTAGCGGCGCGAGCAGCAGCCTCACGAGTGGCAGCGTGCTGGTGCGCACTTCGGATGGTGGCTCTAGCGGTCCGTCGGGTTTGATCAGTCTGACGACGGGTTCTGCGACGGCAGGCACGGTGGGCGGCGTGACGGTGAGCACTGGTGGCAGCACGGGTGGCAACGGCGGGTCTGTGCTCTTGAAGGTTGGCACGGGCAGCAGCGGCACTGGTGGGTCGATCTCGCTGCGATCTGGCGACACCCACACCGGTACGGGAACAGCAACTGGCACTGTGGGCGGATCCATTTCGCTGAGTGGAGGCAGCGGCATGACGAGTGGCGGGTCGATCTCGCTGCGGAGCGGCGCGGGTCTGAAGTCATCTAGCGGTGACATCTCGCTGACGACTCCGGACGCTGCGGTGACAAGCGGTGTGAGTGGCAGTCTGCGTCTGACGAGCGGTGCGAGTCGTGTGGGCGACAGTGGATTGGTGTCTGTGAGCACAGGGGTATCAACAGGCGGTCACGGCGGGTCGATCTCTTTGTCTGTGGGCGGTGGCGACACGTTGTCGGGTGGCGCTCTCTGGATGACGGCGGGCGACACGACGGCTCCGACGTCCACGACGAGTGGGACGGGAGGCTCGGTGAGTGTGTTGAGTGGCCGCAGCGTGGGAAGCACGAGCGGCTCGATTTCGCTGAGTACGGCTACGGGCGGCACGTCTGGCCAATCTGGCGTGTTGAGCTTCAGTAGTGGTAGCGCGACTGCCGGGTCTTCCGGGAACCTACTGCTGAATAGTGGCGCGAGCACGGGCGGCAATGGCGGCTCCGTGTTGGTGAACGTGGGAGACGGCTCTGCGGGCAGTGGCGGCCAGGTGTCGATCACGGCCGGACTGAGTTCTTCGACGACGGCAGGGTCTACTGGTGGCTTGATCGAGCTGGTAGGTGGCCAAGGTGCGCTGACCGGTGGGTCTATCAGTGTGGGTAGCGGCGCTGCATCTGGCACGACCAGTACGAGCAAGACGAGTGGCGACGTGTCCTTGTGGAGTGCTTCGTCTGGTACGAGCGGGTCTCTGTCTCTGGCGAGTGGCGAGTCTTGGTTGTCTTCAAGCGGATCGGTTCGTTTGTCTACAGGCGCAGCGACTGGCGGCAGAGGAGGCAACATCGAGCTATCTGTCGGCGGTGGCAGCATCGGAGCAGGCGGCAAGATTTTGTTGAGTGCTGGTAGTACGAGTGGCGGGACTTCCGGTACTGCTAACAGTGGTGCTGGAGGCGACGTGGAGGTGACTAGCGGCGCGAGCAGCAGCCTCACGAGTGGCAGCGTGCTGGTGCGCACTTTGGATGGTGGCTCTAGCGGTCCGTCGGGTTTGATCAGTCTGACGACGGGCTCTGCGACGGCAGGCACGGTGGGCGGCGTGACGGTGAGCACTGGTGGCAGCACGGGTGGCAACGGCGGGTCTGTGCTCTTGAAGGTTGGCACGGGCAGCTGCGGCGCTGGTGGGTCGATCTCGCTGCGATCTGGCGACACCCACACCGGTACGGGAACAGCAACTGGCACTGTGGGCGGATCCATTTCGCTGAGTGGAGGCAGCGGCATGACGAGTGGCGGGTCGATCTCGCTGCAGAGCGGCGCGGGTCTGAAGTCATCTAGTGGTGACATCTCGCTGACGACTCCGGACGCTGCGGTGACAAGCGGTGTGAGTGGCAGTCTGCGTCTGACGAGCGGTGCGAGTCGTGTGGGCGACAGTGGATTGGTGTCTGTGAGCACAGGGGTATCAACAGGCGGTCACGGCGGGTCGATCTCTTTGTCTGTGGGCGGTGGCGACACGTTGTCGGGTGGCGCTCTCTGGATGACGGCGGGCGACACGACGGCTCCGACGTCCACGACGAGTGGGACGGGAGGCTCGGTGAGTGTGTTGAGTGGCCGCAGCGTGGGAAGCACGAGCGGCTCGATTTCGCTGAGTACGGCTACGGGCGGCACGTCTGGTCAATCTGGCATGTTGAGCTTCAGTAGTGGTAGCGCGACTGCCGGGTCTTCCGGGAACCTACTGCTGAATAGCGGCGCGAGCACGGGCGGCAATGGCGGCTCCGTGTTGGTGAACGTGGGAGACGGCTCTGCGGGCAGTGGCGGCCAGGTGTCGATCACGGCCGGACTGAGTTCTTCGACGACGGCAGGGTCTACTGGTGGCTTGATCGAGCTGGTAGGTGGCCAAGGTGCGCTGACCGGTGGGTCTATCAGTGTGGGTAGCGGCGCTGCATCTGGCACGACCAGTACGAGCAAGACGAGTGGCGACGTGTCCTTGTGGAGTGCTTCGTCTGGTATGAGCGGGTCTATGTCTCTGGCGAGTGGCGAGTCTTGGTTGTCTTCAAGCGGATCGGTTCGTTTGTCTACAGGCGCAGCGACTGGCGGCAGAGGAGGCAACATCGAGCTATCTGTCGGCGGTGGCAGCATCGGAGCAGGCGGCAAGATTTTGTTGAGTGCTGGTAGTACGAGTGGCGGGACTTCCGGTACTGCTAACAGTGGTGCTGGAGGCGACGTGGAGGTGACTAGCGGCGCGAGCAGCAGCCTCACGAGTGGCAGCGTGCTGGTGCGCACCCCGGATGGTGGCTCTAGCGGTCCGTCGGGTTTGATCAGTCTGACGACGGGCTCTGCGACGGCAGGCACGGTGGGCGGCGTGACGGTGAGCACTGGTGGCAGCACGGGTGGCAACGGCGGGTCTGTGCTCTTGAAGGTTGGCACGGGCAGCAGCGGCGCTGGTGGGTCGATCTCGCTGCGATCTGGCGACACCCACACCGGTACGGGAACAGCAACTGGCACTGTGGGCGGATCCATTTCGCTGAGTGGAGGCAGCGGCATGACGAGTGGCGGGTCGATCTCGCTGCAGAGCGGCGCGGGTCTGAAGTCATCTAGCGGTGACATCTCGCTGACGACTCCGGACGCTGCGGTGACAAGCGGTGTGAGTGGCAGTCTGCGTCTGACGAGCGGTGCGAGTCGTGTGGGCGACAGTGGATTGGTGTCTGTGAGCACAGGGGTATCAACAGGCGGTCACGGCGGGTCGATCTCTTTGTCTGTGGGCGGTGGCGACACGTTGTCGGGTGGCGCTCTCTGGATGACGGCGGGCGACACGACGGCTCCGACGTCCACGACGAGTGGGACGGGAGGCTCGGTGAGTGTGTTGAGTGGCCGCAGCGTGGGAAGCACGAGCGGCTCAATTTCGCTGAGTACGGCTACGGGCGGCACGTCTGGTCAATCTGGCGTGTTGAGCTTCAGTAGTGGTAGCGCGACTGCCGGGTCTTCCGGGAACCTACTACTGAATAGTGGCACGAGCACGGGCGGCAATGGCGGCTCCGTGTTGGTGAACGTGGGAGACGGCTCTGCGGGCAGTGGTGGTAATGTTTTTATATCTGCTGGAAATACTAGGGACACAAACGGAGTTGCAGGTGGTAAGGTCGATATCACGAGTGGAACCTCATTAGGTATTGGTACTATAAGTGGCGCAGCGTACTTTGGATCAGCATCGAGTGGCATGAGTGGTTTCGTGGCTGTCACCTCTGGAGCCAGCAGTGCTGGAGCGTCCGGCCAAGTAACTGTATCTTCTGGTACAACCCCCAACGGAGTCGGTGGACAAATGACTGTCGCGGGTGGTGAAGGTATCGGAACCAGTGGCGTGGGCGGTGCTGTGCAGATCGAGGGTGGTTCGACAAACAGCGCTTCAGGTGCTGGTGGCAAAGTGTCCATGTCTGCCGGCGCCGGTGGCAGTACGGGAACTGGCGGCGCTTTGGAGTTGACTAGTGGTGGCGGAGGCAATACTGGTGGGGATCTGTCTATTGCGAGCGGAAGTACGCCGAGTAGCATCAGTGGAGCGCTGTTGTTGACGACGGGTGCGTTGGGTACGTCGGCGACGGCGACGAAATCGAGCGGTGCTGTGACGGTCGCTTCTGGCGATGCGTCTTCAGGCTCGAGCGGCTCGATCACTGTGTCCACAGGTGCCTCGACAAGCAGTGGTGCCGGCGGCGCCATCTCGCTGTCCGTTGGTGATGGGGTTGTTGGCACAGGCGGCGATGTCAAGATTGCTGCAGGTGCGAGCAGTGCTAGTAGTGGTGCCGGTGGTGCCGGAGGCAATGTGAACATTGCAGCTGGTGGTGCCACGACGTCAAGCAGCGGCTCTGGTGGAAAGATTGACATCACGAGTGGCTCATCTGCAGGCACGGGAAGCAGCAGCGGCCTAATATACTTGCGATCTGCTTCGAATGGTGCATCTGGAATGGTGACCATGAGCTCCGGTGTCAGTACTTCTGGTGTATCGGGAGATGTGAAAGTAGCCTCTGGAGCGAGTACTGGGGGTGCCAGCGGCCTGGTGACCGTGACTGGTGGGGTCGGTACTGGCGCCGGTGGGGTTGGAGGTGCAGTGTCGATCTTGGGTGGTTCGACAAGTGATGCTTCCGGTGCTGGTGGCAAGGTCTCCGTAGTTGGAGGTGCGAGTGGTGCAACAGGCACTGGTGGAGCCGTGGAGCTAACTGCAGGTGCTGGGGGTAATGCTGGTGGTTCGTTGTCTGTTGGCACTGGAAGCACAACAAGCGGCACCAGCGGAGGTTTGTTGCTGACGACCGGGTCGTTGAGTAGTCCAGTGACTGCGACTAGCTCTAGTGGCACTGTTACGGTGCGTTCTGGCCCAGCATCCTCCGGATCGAGTGGCTCGGTCAGTTTGTCGACTGGTGCATCTACATCTGGAGGTACTGCAGGCGCGATAACGCTATCTGTTGGGATCAGAGACGCTGGTGCAGGCGGCGACATCAAACTTGCTGCTGGAGTGACGTCCGCTTCGAATAGTGCGGGTGGAGTGGTTACAATCACGAGCGGATCGGCGTCATCCTCGACGAGCAGTAGTGGCCAGGTGTCTATCCAGCTCATCCACAAGCGCCATCTCTGGTGCGGTAACTGTCAGCTCCTGGTGTCAGCAGCGCTGGGATATCTGGCCCGGTGACACTAGCGTCGGGTGCAAGCAGTGGTGGCGCAAGCGGTCTGGTTACTGTGAGTGGTGGTAATGGTATCGGAACCAGCGGTGTGGGCGGTGCTCTGCAGATCAAGGGTGGTTCGACGGACAGCGCTTCAGGTACAGGCGGCAAGGTGTCTGTTTCCGGTGGCAATGGTGGCAGTACGGGAACTGGCGGCGCTTTGGAGTTGACAAGTGGTGGCGGAGGCAGTACTGGTGGGGCCCTGTCTAATGCGAGCGGAAGTACGCCGAGTAGCATCAGTGGAGCGCTGTTGCTGACGACGGGTGCGTTGGGTACGTCGGCGACGGCGACGAAATCGAGTGGTGCTGTGACGATCGCTTCTGGCGATGCGTCTTCAGGCTCGAGCGGCTCGATCACTGTGTCGACTGGTACCTCGACAAGTAGTGGTGCCGGCGGCGCCATCTCGCTGTCCGTTGGTGATGGCGTTGTTGGCACAGGCGGCGATGTCAAGATTGCTGCAGGTGCGAGCAGTGCTAGTAGTGATGCCGGTGGTGCCGGAGGCAATGTGAACATTGCAGCTGGTGGTGCCACGACGTCAAGCAGCGGCTCTGGTGGAAAGATTGACATCACGAGCGGCTCATCTGCAGGCACGGGAAGCAGCAGCGGCCTAATATACTTGCGATCTGCTTCGAATGGTGCATCTGGAATGGTGACCATGAGCTCCGGTGTCAGTACTTCTGGTGTATCGGGAGATGTGAAAGTAGCCTCTGGAGCGAGTACTGGGGGTGCCAGCGGCCTGGTGACCGTGACTGGTGGGGTCGGTACTGGCGCCGGTGGGGTTGGAGGTGCAGTGTCGATCTTGGGTGGTTCGACAAGTGATGCTTCCGGTGCTGGTGGCAAGATCTCCGTAGTTGGAGGTGCGAGTGGTGCAACAGGCACTGGTGGAGCCGTGGAGCTAACTGCAGGCGCTGGGGGTAATGCTGGTGGTTCGTTGTCTGTTGGCACTGGAAGCACAACAAGCGGCACCAGCGGAGGTTTGTTGCTGACGACCGGGTCGTTGAGTAGTCCAGTGACTGCGACTAGCTCTAGTGGCACTGTTACGGTGCGTTCTGGCCCAGCATCCTCCGGATCGAGTGGCTCGGTCAGTTTGTCGACTGGTGCATCTACATCTGGAGGCACTGCAGGCGCGATAACGCTATCTGTTGGGATCAGTGACGCTGGCGCAGGCGGCGACATCAAACTTGCTGCTGGAGTGACGTCCGCTTCGAATAGTGCGGGTGGAGTGGTTACAATCACGAGCGGATCGGCGTCATCCTCGACGAGCAGTAGTGGCCAGGTGTCTATCAGCTCATCCACAAGCGCCATCTCTGGTGCGGTAACTGTCAGCTCTGGTGTCAGCAGCGCTGGGATATCTGGTCCGGTGACACTTGCGTCGGGTGCAAGCACTGGTGGCGCAAGCGGGTTGGTTACTGTGAGTGGTGGTAATGGTATCGGATCCGGTGGAGTTGGCGGCGCAGTATCTGTCGCGGGTGGCTCAACGACAGACGCTTCAGGTACAGGCGGCAAGGTGTCTGTGTCCGGTGGCAATGGTGACAGTACGGGAACTGGTGGCGCTTTGGAGTTGACTAGTGGTGGCGGAGGCAGTACTGGTGGGGCCCTGTCTATTGCGAGCGGAAGTACGCCGAGTAGCATCAGTGGAGCGCTGTTGTTGACGACGGGTGCGTTGGGTACGTCGGCGACGGCGACGAAATCGAGTGGTGCTGTGACGATCGCTTCTGGCTCTGCGTCTTCAGGCTCGAGCGGCTCGATCACTGTGTCCACAGGTGCCTCGACAAGCAGTGGTGCTGGCGGCGCCATCTTGCTGTCCGTTGGTGATGGCGTTGTTGGCACAGGCGGCGATGTCAAGATTGCTGCAGGTGCAACAAGTGCTAGTAGTGGTGCCGGTGGTGCCGGAGGCAATGTGAACATTGCAGCTGGTGGTGCCACGACGTCAAGCAGCGGCTCTGGTGGAAAGATTGACATCACGAGCGGCTCATCTGCAGGCACGGGCAGCAGCAGCGGCCTAATATACTTGCGATCTGCTTCGAATGGTGCATCTGGAATGGTGACCATGAGCTCCGGTGTCAGTACTTCTGGTGTATCGGGAGATGTGAAAGTAGCCTCTGGAGCGAGTACTGGGGGTGCCAGCGGCCTGGTGACCGTAACTGGTGGGGTCGGTACTGGCGCCGGTGGGGTTGGAGGTGCAGTGTCGATCTTGGGTGGTTCGACAAGTGATGCTTCCGGTGCTGGTGGCAAGGTCTCCGTAGTTGGAGGTGCGAGTGGTGCAACAGGCACTGGTGGAGCCGTGGAGCTAACTGCAGGTGCTGGGGGTAATGCTGGTGGTTCGTTGTCTGTTGGCACTGGAAGCACAACAAGCGGCACCAGCGGAGGTTTGTTGCTGACGACTGGGTCGTTGAGTAGTCCAGTGACTGCGACTAGCTCTAGTGGCACTGTTACGGTGCGTTCTGGCCCAGCATCCTCCGGATCGAGTGGCTCGGTCAGTTTGTCGACTGGTGCATCTACATCTGGAGGCACTGCAGGCGCGATAACGCTATCTGTTGGGATCAGTGACGCTGGTGCAGGCGGCGACATCAAACTTGCTGCTGGAGTGACGTCCGCTTCGAATAGTGCGGGTGGAGTGGTTACAATCACGAGCGGATCGGCGTCATCCTCGACGAGCAGTAGTGGCCAGGTGTCTATCAGCTCATCCACAAGCGCCATCTCTGGTGCGGTAACTGTCAGCTCTGGTGTCAGCAGCGCTGGGATATCTGGTCCGGTGACACTTGCGTCGGGTGCAAGCACTGGTGGCGCAAGCGGGTTGGTTACTGTGAGTGGTGGTAATGGTATCGGATCCGGTGGAGTTGGCGGCGCAGTATCTGTCGCGGGTGGCTCAACGACAGACGCTTCAGGTACAGGCGGCAAGGTGTCTGTGTCCGGTGGCAATGGTGGTAGTACGGGAACTGGTGGCGCTTTGGAGCTGACTAGTGGTGGCGGAGGCAGTACCGATGGGGATCTGTCTATTGCGAGCGGAAGTACGCCGAGTAGCATCAGTGGAGCGCTGTTGTTGACGACGGGTGCGTTGGGTACGTCGGCGACGGCGACGAAATCGAGTGGTGCTGTGACGATCGCTTCTGGCGATGCGTCTTCAGGCTCGAGCGGCTCGATCACTGTGTCCACAGGTGCCTCGACAAGTAGTGGTGCCGGCGGCGCCATCTCGCTGTCCGTTGGTGATGGCGTTGTTGGCACAGGCGGCGATGTCAAGATTGCTGCAGGTGCAACAAGTGCTAGTAGTGGTGCCGGAGGAAAGATCGATGTCGTGAGTGGTCCAGCATCTGTCTCTACAATTGGTAGTGGGCCGGTGTACCTGAACTCAGCTAGTAGTGGTGTATCGGGAATGGTGACAGTAAGTTCCGGTAGCAGCAGTACTGGTACATCAGGTTTGATGACCGTGGCTGGTGGTGAAGGTATCGGAACCAGCGGTGTGGGCGGTGCTCTGCAGATCAAGGGTGGTTCGACGAACAGCGCTTCAGGTGCTGGTGGCAAGGTGTCTGTTTCCGGTGGCAATGGTGGCAGTACGGGAACTGGTGGCGCTTTGGAGTTGACTAGTGGTGGCGGAGGCAATACTGGTGGGGATCTGTCTATTGCGAGCGGAAGTACGCCGAGTAGCATCAGTGGAGCGCTGTTGTTGACGACGGGTGCGTTGGGTACGTCGGCGACGGCGACGAAATCGAGCGGTGCTGTGACGATCGCTTCTGGCTCTGCGTCTTCAGGCTCGAGCGGCTCGATCACTGTGTCGACTGGTACCTCGACAAGTAGTGGTGCTGGCGGCACCATCTCGCTGTCCGTTGGTGATGGCGTTGTTGGCACAGGCGGCGATGTCAAGATTGCTGCAGGTGCGAGCAGTGCTAGTAGTGGTGCCGGTGGTGCCGGAGGCAATGTGAACATTGCAGCTGGTGGTGCCACGACGTCAAGCAGCGGCTCTGGTGGAAAGATTGACATCACGAGCGGCTCATCTGCAGGCACGGGAAGCAGCAGCGGCCTAATATACTTGCGATCTGCTTCGAATGGTGCATCTGGAATGGTGACCATGAGCTCCGGTGTCAGTACTTCTGGTGTATCGGGAGATGTGAAAGTAGCCTCTGGAGCGAGTACTGGGGGTGCCAGCGGCCTGGTGACCGTGACTGGTGGGGTCGGTACTGGCGCCGGTGGGGTTGGAGGTGCAGTGTCGATCTTGGGTGGTTCGACAAGTGATGCTTCCGGTGCTGGTGGCAAGGTCTCCGTAGTTGGAGGTGCGAGTGGTGCAACAGGCACTGGTGGAGCCGTGGAGCTAACTGCAGGTGCTGGGGGTAATGCTGGTGGTTCGTTGTCTGTTGGCACTGGAAGCACAACAAGCGGCACCAGCGGAGGTTTGTTGCTGACGACCGGGTCGTTGAGTAGTCCAGTGACTGCGACTAGCTCTAGTGGCACTGTTACGGTGCGTTCTGGCCCAGCATCCTCCGGATCGAGTGGCTCGGTCAGTTTGTCGACTGGTGCATCTACATCTGGAGGCACTGCAGGCGCGATAACGCTATCTGTTGGGATCAGTGACGCTGGCGCAGGCGGCGACATCAAACTTGCTGCTGGAGTGACGTCCGCTTCGAATAGTGCGGGTGGAGTGGTTACAATCACGAGCGGATCGGCGTCATCCTCGACGAGCAGTAGTGGCCAGGTGTCTATCAGCTCATCCACAAGCGCCATCTCTGGTGCGGTAACTGTCAGCTCTGGTGTCAGCAGCGCTGGGATATCTGGCCCGGTGACACTTGCGTCGGGTGCAAGCACTGGTGGCGCAAGCGGGTTGGTTACTGTGAGTGGTGGTAATGGTATCGGATCCGGTGGAGTTGGCGGCGCAGTATCTGTCGCGGGTGGCTCAACGACAGACGCTTCAGGTACAGGCGGCAAGGTGTCTGTGTCCGGTGGCAATGGTGGTAGTACGGGAACTGGTGGCGCTTTG